TTTTGTTAGTAATAGTGCCCTCTCTGGTACCCATACTGAGTAGCAATGAGGTCTCAAAGTAGAATCATGGATCTTGCTCTTTCTGTAAGACAAACCCCAAGATGCTAAAGGCCAAGTTTCTTGGGTTTGCCATGGGAAACATAAACCTTGGAAATTGAATTCTGCAACTGAATTTCATTGAATGGTTGATGACTTTACCTACAAATCAATCAAATGTGATTAGTTAGGTACAGATTAATAAAGCAGAGACACCCATATTAACTCAATGTTAAGGCAATAAGATGTTGGCAGCAAGAAGGTAGGGGCACTGGGAAGGTGAGCCTACAGAGTACAAGGAAAAGGACAAGGTACTTTCAGACATAATTCTTCCACAGCCACTCAAAACCCTGTTGCTCTCCTACAAGTTTCACTAGTGCTTCCACACTAGTATTTACTCTGGAATTGCCACCTCTAATTCACTTGCTGTTTATGAAACATCTACATGGCATCACCAAATTGGTGTTCTGTGTTTTCCCTATGCTTCTTCCAAATCCTTCTGAGAGAGCACAAAATACAACTTTTTGGATGAGATGGAAACAGCAGCACAATCTCTACAGATCTAGAACTTTTCAGTGCTACTTTTTTTTAAAGAGGTTTACTTTTGACGTGTGCAGTGACATTCTTGGTGATTGCAGGGCCATCTTAATGCATGGGCCTGATGGGCACTTGCCCGTGGGCCCCATACTAATCTGTGTATGTTAACCCTTGGAAAATTGGAATACTTCCAAAATTAACAGTAGTTGTAGTTGTCATAGGGGCCCCAGTACACTGCTTTGCCCAAGGTCCATAATGCTGTTAAGACGGCCCTAGGAGATTGAGTCCTATTACTAGCTTGTTTCATTTGAGCACCCCTCCCTATTGCCTTCCCAGACAGCTCCCTTTTGGCAGTGTGGTTTTTAAAACTACTTCTGAAATTTACAGAAAAGGCATCTTCACATTGGCTTTTTTGAAAAATCACAGAACAAAAAAGGTTTGTTTAGCAAATTTTAAAATTACCTGTTGCTAAGATTCTGTGCAAGGTACATTACTATCCCCCACCCACACACCATTACTCCCTCTAGTTTGAACTGAAAATAGCAGAATGTAAATATACAAAAACTGCTATACTACAAAAGTGTGGGTAATCAGCTGTAGTTCAGCACATACTCCACAGCAGGACTAGGCAGTACTATAAGTCTCCCATTTGAAACCAGCCTCCAGTAACTATTTTTACTTCTCTTGGACTGTCTGCAATCTGAGGGCCAGACACATGTCTGTTTTCTTTAAAAGAAAAGGCAAAGCTAGGTTTAGCACTGCACCAAAATCAAGCACCACAGTCTATGGCAGACAAAGCACAACCATAGTCTTTCAGTAAGATAAGGTCCCTGATTGCAGCACAATGTTGTGGCACAAAACCTGGGAGGAACTTATCTGAAGTCAGGTTGTTTGACCTTTAACCTTTATAGGGCTTCTATACCAAGTATCTCAAACCAGGTCCATGTGAGAGTTGTGATTTCAAGACACCCATGTCTTGCTTCTATGTTCTAACAACATGCTTTCTGATTGCAGCCCTTCCCCATCCCTCCCTCCCCATTTCCTCAGACTGCCTTAAAGAGTGGGTGGGATATGTGCCTTGCAATTCTTCTTTTCCATTAGCAAGTCAAACAAAAGGTGGCTTGTTCCTGCCTTAAGAGTTGATGCTCTCGGATCAAAGAAGTACCCAGGCCTGGAGCATGATGAGAAATGACCAATGGCATGTTGTTTATCAAAGTTGCTGCTTAATTGTTAAAATGAAATGAATACAACCCAGGAATCCCATCTTTCAATCTCTTTCCTACTCCAGTTCCACCCCACTCAAACATAGCAGATTCCAATCCATCCCAGGCTGAAGAAGAGTGCCTAGGTCCCCCATCCCCCTTGTTCAGGGATCCTGGCTCCCCTCCATATGGTGAACCTCACCAGTCTTTTCCTCACAACGATGAAAGATCAGGGCTTCCAGGATGACATGAAGAGCTTTCTAACAGGCTTAAGTCCAAGCTTTTCCCATTCTAAATCTCAAGCACTGCCCTCATCCCCAGCCCACTAAACCTACTTTGTCTGCTTGACATGGGAACAGAGCACATTAACCAGCTAGTGCAACTTCAAATTTGCATCACCTTGCAAAATTATCTGAGGAAGATGAGAGCAGGGAGTTTCCTGTGGTTCAGAATGCCTTGCAGAAAAGGCCTACTAGCATCAGAATGGAGACTCTCCTACTTCCAGCAGCTCATCCCATTTGCACCAGCAGGAGATCAGGAGTTCCAAACTGGTCTGTACCCTTATTTCTTCCATTTTAGCCAATCTGACTGATTCTTTTGGACTACAACACAACTAGTCCCACTAGCAATTAATCTCACAGTGTTCACCAGAAGTTGGTGAAAGGATACATTCCCCATTATATATATAGCTGGGGGAAATGTGGCCAAGAGTGTGAATTGGTATAGGTCATCTCAATGAGTCTATGTCTGAGCTGGAATTTATACTCCAGTCTCAGCTCCCCATGGGACCACACCACTTTTATGCTGCTGCCCATATGTTGCTGGTAGTTATGAATGAGTTTGTGTGAAAGTACAATTTATGAATGGTGCACCTGTAGTATAAGCAAAATCCTTCCTTAGTCAAATATTACGCAAACTATGATTTTTGTGACAAGAAATTCATTATAAGTGCCATATACTTTCCACAGCTGTAGAAGTACAACCCCAGATAAGATTTTTGTTATGTATTCTGGTGCTTCACTGAATCTGGAAAGTGGTTTCCCCTTTCCCACAATTCCTTTCCTCTAAGGCATCACTGACCACCCAAAAAATAAGGTGTCAAATGGATGTTATGTGATACATTCGGTTTAAATATTCAGTGAAATTCAAGTGGTAGAGCTTTTATGAACTATAATATCATTTTATATTGCAGGTGGCTATCATTCACCTATTGGAATGATACCTTCATGCAATCCATTAAATAATATCCTCCCTGCATATCAGAAAATAAGATGCCTAGGCTAATATATTCTCCCTGAAATAGCGGTCTACTCTATGGTGTGTGTGTGCATGCATGTGTAATATTCAAATATTACATTTGCAGCCTGATTTGATGGGGAAAGCTTTTCCAATCATTTTTTTCTGAATGTACCAGTGGCATGTTTACCAGTGCATAAACATGCGTGGGTTTTACATGGAGTGGGTGGTATGAGGTGCAATAGAAGGATATTAATTTCTACTTAGTGTTTAAGACCCCACACAGCACTACACAGCAGGTGGGGGTCTGCTTCTCTCTGCCACTGGTGGGCTCCCCTCTCTCTGTCTCTCACACATTCACATAGGCATAGACGTAGACAAACACCTGATGCTGGGAGTGAGAAGGATGGTGATCTTGGGCTGCATCCCAGACAATTCAGAATCCGAATGTGAAACGAATAACAGTGGGATTGTGGAGGATGGGCTAGGTCAAGATTCGGAGATGAAGGAGGCAGAGGTGATTATCTTGAGGCCAGGCACTTCGCTGACCCAGGCAGTTTCTGGGAATGACCAAGTTGCACAGCCAGTGGGAGGAGTCTCTCCTCATCCTCAGACCAGGGCCCCACCTTCTTGACCCCATCTGCCATCCTTCTCACTTCCAACTCCTACTCGTACACAGTCTTGCCCCCACCCACTCATTCACACGAATCCATAGCCTTCCACCGTCACTCATTCACTGATTCACATAAACACACACACACACTCTCTTCAAGCGCACCCCATATAAGAGTGGAGGGGTGGAGGGATTTAAATATCTTCTTCCTGTTATGCTGAGATCTCATTTCTTCCCCATTGCCCACTGCCCAGCTGATTAGTGGAAAAAACTGAGGAATGCAATAGTTGCCATGCTTCTCGCCTGCTTCTAATCAGATGGGGTTGGGCAAACTAGAGTTGACCAAAGACCCTATGCAGCGTGCAGACTACCAGTTGCTTGGATGTGGTCTATGGATTACTTTGCACTTGCACCTAGTGTGCAGGTTATGCATAAGGTCTGGTACATGGTTGCCGACCCACAAGCATTTTAAATCATTTTATACAAACATAAATGCATATAAAAAAAAGTATCATTCACAGGATCTATCCACCCATTTTTATCCATACAAGCAAGTCTTGCTCACATAAGTGGGCACACACATAGACCCTTACCTGAGTTCTATGTATGGTGAGGCCCAAAGCTCATTTCTACACCCTGCTGCATGTATAACCTACATGCTTATGTGAAATAGTGTTATATAACTGCTATATCCAGGTGCAGGAATTTTTAGGCAAGATCCAAAGGGGTTGTTCTGTCTCTCCCTGTGGTGAGAGATAGCTCACTTTCTTGAGTCTTCAGTAGATAACTTGGTCTGTTTGTCTTGTACACCATTTAGTAAGGTGCTTTCTGTTTGAGGCAGGTATTACAAGGATTTATCTAGGGCGGTTTATGTGGTTTCAGGATAATATGGACTTGATGGAAGAGTTAAACCTGGGGATTCTTCAACTGTATGATTCTTTGTGCAGTCAATATATGACCATTCTACTGATCAAGTTTTAGCACAATAAATAGAAACTGAATATTCAATGTGCATCATTTTACTGATTTTTATCATCGTATTAGTATTTTCTCTTCCTCAGGGAATGCAGGGCATCTCAAAGTTGAAAACCTTCTGCTCATGCACTGCCCCACAATTTAGTGATAATTTTACCATTATTTCTTTTATGTGATTGTGTATTCTCACAATATTCAAAACTATCATTTGTGTCTTCACCTAGCCTACCTCACAAGCACACACAAACTCCCATTCATTTCACTGAGGCATGGACAGCTTATTCCTCAAGTTAATTTAGTGGGATGAGAAGGCAGGGGTGCCATTTGAATTTTCTATCTCAGATCTAAATGTCTGTGCCAGCTCTGAAAGTCCCTGAAAGATGCTAGATGTGTCACATATATGAATTTGATTTCTTTCCTTTATCATTTTTCTGTTCATTTAATCATTAACATTAAACACAAGAAAATACATTAATAGAATCAAGAACTGAGGTACATTTGCAAGATGCATGCAATCTTCCAAGCATGAAAAAGGACTTTTTATACAGTGGGTGAGTTTGCAGAACATGGCAGCCCACCCCACAAATACAATGGACTTACTGTAAAATGTGCCCCCAATGCCCTTTTGGTCCACCCACTAAAGTCCTTGTCTTCTGTCCCCACTGCCATTTTGCTCTTGCAATGGCTTTTTTTCTCCTCACCACATCTCCTTTTTGCAAAGATTTCTTTCCACAATCTCCAAGGTAACAGCCCCTACAAAGTTGCTAAATGGCACCTTGGAAGGGCTGCCACTGGGTCACCACAACACTTTTTTGTCAAGCACAAGAAATTTACAGAAATATATCTAACATCTAATCAAATGCAGGGGTAGGTGCTTGCAGGGGCCAAAATGGAAAATCTCACCTGGGCAATATCTGGGGAGGTGTCAAAGTGCAAGGCAGCCACCATAGATGTTGACCCAGAGGGGCTGCATTTTTCACTTTGTGCTCTCTTAATAGCTGTCAAAGGCTTAGCTGTCAAGAAAAAGAAAAGCTACAAGAGATTTTTGCTTGTGAAAAAGAGTGGGCGGACTCCCCCATTTACAGGGAGATCATCTCTCTGGGTTTTTAATGTTTCCCCCATTGTTTTCTGCTTCTTCCAACCTTCCCAAGACTCCCCATATCCATGTAAACTTACTTTTGACAGCTTCCTTTTAATTCATAGATTTAGGCAGAGATAAGCAGCATGGTTTTGGCAAGGAAATAGGTATATGCATTCTTGTCAAAATTATCCTGTTTAGCCCTGCCTAAATCCTTCTTTAAAACGAAAATAATGGAAATATTTGCAGAAACATCTTGTGCTTAAAAACAACAACAACAAGGTGGTGAACCAATGACAGACTATTCAGTGTGTACCTTGAGCACTTTGGAAGGGCTGTCACAGCTGTCTTCTTGGGGTTTGCAAAAATTGATCCCCAGAAAAATATTGGGGGAAGAGGGGAAAAAAACATGGTAAATACAAAAAGATTAATGATCAGCCTAAGGGACACTGAGCCAGTGATGGTCACCCCACCATGCTGCTTGGGCATCAGTGATGATGTTGCTGCCATTGATGATGACCAGAGTGAGGTTGACAAGAACAAAGGGGGTTTGCTGCATTTGCACAGCAGCTTGTTCACCACTTCCCTAGACCAAGTCAGTTGTAGACAAAGTAAAATCGGCTCCCTAAACTTCAGCCTGCAAGACTTTACCCTCCTGGGCAAGGATCCCACAGGAGGAAGTGCAGTATTTACATAACTGCATCCTTGCATTTTGCAATTCTTCCACAACAAATGATGGGACAATTCCTGTGCATTTTTATACAGCTTGCCTGTACCCAAGCACAAATGAGTGCATGAGAAGCTGTCCTAAAGATATGTGTAGTTTCATGAATTTTTTCTCATCTGTGGAAGCTCATCCTTGCTGAGGCCATAAACAACTTGATTAACACATGGTTAACACCTCCCCCCCCTGCCCCGCAGTACCTCAACTGCTTTGGAACCTTTTGTTGGACAGTGGAATAAAAATAGGGCTGCACTTTTCACTATAGGAATGAGTCCCAGTGATTGTACAATAATGAAATAAAAGAGGGACACCATTAAGCTAGATTTAAAAAGACTTTTTGCTCCTGGTCATTCCATTCATGAAGCATCAAACCTTCTCTTATTTACATTTACTTCCACCCCTCCATCAGTAAAACTTCTATCTAGGGTACAGTTCCTTGATCACACTAGAATGGAGCTAAATGTTGGGAAAGAATGGGATATCTGAGATAGATCTGCATTACTGTTCAATTATACAACATTCTGAAATGTGCAAAAGGTTTTATGATCATCCCTTGTTTACGGCAGTACTCCTTGTCCCAGACAATAGCCTAGTGAATGAACCTGTTGAAAATGATACGACATTGTGACTATCTTATTTTTTCCCCACCTTCCCCAACAAAGTTATCACAGTTATACCTTGAATTGTGCTCTTAATCGAATGGTTCACAACCAATTGTTGTCTTCCAGTATGATGTGCCATGGGTTTGTACTTTGTATAAAATAGAAATTGAGCCTTCAGGTGTGACCAGTTGCCTCGATCTTCTGCTGGTGCAATTTGCTCTTCCCATAAAAGAACATTAGTGTGGTGCCAACTCCCACCAGCTGGCCTCTGGCACATAATGCTTCAAAGCCTGTGGCAAGAGGCTGAATACACAGCATGGCCAATTCCGGCTGGCACGCGCTGTTCCACTGCAGCCGCTGCCCGCTGCCATCCAAATTTTCTATCTCATTTTCTCTCCTGCAGATGGAGGTAGTTAGCACCTTCAAGAGAAGCGGCTCCTTTCAGGGGGCTGTCCGACGCCGCTCTTCCGTCCTCAGTCAACTGCACGATGTAACCAATATTTCTACCCCCACTCACGTAATTCTCTCCGCCGCAAATGCCAGCACCGGTACCGGGAGTGAGTCTTGATTTCCTCTTACTGCTTGTGATTTAAAAACAAACAAAACAAAGACAAAAAACCCATCCTATTTCTGCCCTCCTCCAATATTCCCCTTCCTTCTCTTCTATCCACCCCTCACCCAACCTTGTGGTCCCTCGTTGCTGCAGTCACTGTTGCAATATTATTTATTTCAGTTTTTTTCTCTGTCCGGTCTCAGTCACGCCGGATTTACAACTTCTATAAAGCCATACAATTTCTGCGCTTTGCCCCTCCTTCTTTAAGCACCTGCACCCCTTCTATCCTTGGTTTGCTCGTCTCTTTCACCTTCTCTATCAGTGGCTGTTGGTTTTAATGGACTGGAGTCACATCCCCAGCTGGTGAGGTGGGGGTAGGCATGGGTATGGGCATATGTTTCAGTCAAAGCCACAGCAGTAAGGAAGAACAATACCAGCTGGGGATCCAGCCTTGTTTCGCGGCCTGGTTATGCATCTTGATGGTGATTGGTGTTTGTTGTGGTGTTTAGTGTGTGTCACTCACTGTTGCACATCAGAGACTTGTGGGGAGGGTATTACCAGAGGAGAGGAAAAGATCAAGTTCCAGATGAAGACATGAAGCATTTGGATAAGACTAGATTTTTACCTCCCCATTCCTGGGTTACATCTGAAGTAATCTGCTGCCTGTGATGAGGGTGAAGGCAATCCGAGGCTAGATTTAAAACTGGGGAAAGCCAGCACAAAAAGGGCAGCTGTTTGCATAGCCAGCTAATCGACACAGGGGAAGTTCTTTCTGCTAAGCATGACTTAATGCCCCTGACTGGCCTAAACTGGCAGGTCAGATTCCATTTTGCCTCTGACTCCTGATGAGACTGATTCATGCTACTTGTCACAACTCTCGCACAACCCACTACAGAATAAATGGAAGTTGCTCAACAAAGATGCTGGTGGATTGTTGCCTACTATGCACTTAAAGCCTCATTATTTCAACTATCACCTATCACCTACCCCTACCTACACTTCACATTTAATCCAGTGTGAAAACAGATTTAAAGATAAACTTGCCTCCAAAGAATCCTGGGATTTCTGTAGCATCACCCTGGAGATGTTTTAATATGAAAAACTTACTGTCATAAAGCTATTATTCTGGACATATTTGCAGTAGAAACAAACTAATAGTCGTTCCTTCTTCCCATGGAACCCTAGGAATTGCAGCTATGTGTAGAGGAAGAATCTCTAGCAGAATTCTAAGCATCCTCCCCAAACTATGATTCCCAGTTAAAGAAGTATAAAACTAGTATTAGTTTGTAGTGTGGACATGCCCTGTCTGGGTTCCTTGACTGGGTGCCATTACAGTGAACCAGGTCTGAGACTGGTTTAAATTTGTAATGTAGACAGTGTTGGAGGAGATGGCAAAGCAGTTCTTATTCACTCTTAAATCTCAAGATGGATTTACTGTAGAGAGACTCAAAAGAAAGAACCAAAAGTGAGCTTAAGAAAAAGCATGTCTGATATGAAGCTGGTCTCCCCAACTGGTATGGGACATTTAAGAGTTTAAAAATATGATTGTAGAAAGGGATGGAATTCTGGGGCAAGTAAAGGAAAAGACATCTGGTGAATGGGTTGTGGCAGGCAAGGGAGCCTTTTATTTTACTTGGAAGCAGAAGGTGAGAATATGCCTCTTGAAGTCATTGACAGTGATGTCATGGTCCAGTTCCTCTGTGTATCAAAGAAAAAGAATTGGTTCCCTGCTCCTTTTATCTGACTCAGTCCTGTTCCTGTGCCTCATCCCTCCATCCCCCCTTCAGAAACTATGCCAACTCCTACTTACCTTCTTGAAAAGAAACTTTCTGCATTTGTTTTTCATTTTTTGGCATAACAATGAGAGATCCAAAGAGGTAAGCTGTCACTTCTTCAGTTCTCCAGCTGCCAGACTAGATATTCTTGGCAAATTGGTTGGGTTAGAGTATTCCAACAATTCCTTCTTTCTTCTCCTCTTGCTCCTCCTTCTCCTCTTCTCCCTCTCTTTCTTTTTTGTTTTGGTTTTCCTACTAATCAGAGCCATGCTGGTGGTCATGCCAGCATTGTATGTCGCGTGGTAGATTCATAGTGCCTTTCAATATGACATGCACTGGTCTTGCTTTTCAATTGGGGTGCACCCTACTGTGTAAACCTTCGAGTATGGCCTTGTAATCTTTGCTGGCATTTTATCAGTTGTTTCTCTCTCTCTCTCTCTCTCTCTCTCTCTTTCTTTTTTTAATGCTGCCTTTATATTAAACTCTCTTCCTCCCTTCCAGCAGCTCGTTGGGAAATTGATATCCATTATGGCCTTTGGTCTTCCCCACTTCTTGCATCTTGGAAATGCTTTATCTGGTTTTTCTGTTCTTTTTGATGATGATTACATTTCTTTTTTAGGAACCATGTTGTGGATGGCAAATGGGTTTCTCCACCCTAAATTTTCCAAAGGGGAATTTGTCATTTCAGGCTCACAGAATAAACAGGGACAGCCTGCAATGTTTGGGCAAATGAAACAGAAAATCCAAAGAGCACTTCCCCCTACCCTTAATTAGTATGCTGCACAATTTACTGAGGAATTCTGCTGAACAAGTCCATTGAAATTATTGAGGCTATGCAAGAGTTCATTTCAAGCTGCCTTCTGCAAAAGAACTTCCCAGCACATTGTGTTTAGCGGCATCCAATCCTCAACTTTCTTCTTAAGACAGAGCCTGACAACCTTCTGTGTAACCTATCAAATCACTTAATGATGGCATTAGTCTTGCATTTTTGTAGATTTTTTTCATGACCCCATCCAGAAACTGGGAATCTACATAAATCAGCTGCAGCTTTGGAAGACAATTCTTTCCTAGAGAAATCTAAACAGTGCAATATTATTATATTTCATACAAATGCTGAGCTATCCCACCCAGAATCTCATAACAGCTGAGAAAGCATTAGGAATTTTTGTCCACTTTTGAAGCAAGTGAGGAAAAAGAGAATGCCTAATGAACTAAACAGAGTCTGCTCATGTTGTCACCTTTTGAAGGTTCTTGTGCCTGTGACAGTAATAAGCAGAAAATTCAGCAAGTGGAAGCTCCCTCAGTGCTGTCTGTGCATGCTGGCAAGAGCTTTATGTGCTCAAGTTCTGTTTGATGTACAGCCAGTTCTGCGGGATCCAAAAAAGTGCCCACCAAAAGGGAGATGTGTACAGATTTCACATCAGTTGTGCACATGGATACCAGATTCCTTGTGTAAGTGACCCTTGCTGGAATTAGCCTTCAGTGCATAACATGTTAGCACCATTCAGATCCTTTTAAAGAGTCTTATACTTGATAAGCTTCCTTTAGAAGAATTGTAAACCCTTTTGTTGCTGCTGCTTGGGCTGGATTAAAATTTAAACTAGGGTGGAGCACAGTTTAAATACAGCGCTTGATAACTTTTTTGCATCTTTTGTCTGTATTTTAAATTTAGTATTATCTGCCCTGAACCTTGAGGATGGTGTAGCCTAGAAACCTAAAATATAGAAGGAGGCACATGTCTGTTGCAACAGTACTGGTCACACTTGTGTTGTTGGCAAAATCAAACTGACCACAGTTTGGACATAAAAGTTCAAGTTGTACACACAAAAATCAGCACATGTACTAACAACATGTTTGCAATACCAACTCCACAGCATTTCTATGCACTCCTACTGTGTGTCAGCTATGGTCCACATTAGGAGAGCATACTCAAGGGGAAATATCCAACATTGCCATTTCACTTATGCCATAGATGTATTAGCATAAGTGACTTCTAGCACACCACCAATGGCATATGCTGGTTCAGCAGGTGTCCCTGGAAAGCCTGTTGCAATTGCATACATGGTTGACACAGTTCTAGAGGTTGCTTGTGTTTGTGCAACACCAACAGTGTAAGTTGAATGAAAGCACTGAAGCATCACAGCACAACTTGATTACCCCTTAATATTCACCATGTTGTCATAATAAATCTGAGATTAAAGTATGATGGGGTTTCCCTCTACCTGTTCACTAATTTTTTATGAATAAAATGAAGTTTCTATTTGGATTTGGAACCAGACTAGTCTGGTTGTTAATTCTGGATTAGTTAATGTATCAGTTACATTAGTTAACAATTTCCTGAAGATGGCATATAGAAAGAATTAAAATGAAGCTTCCAACTCCCCTAGCAACTTAATGTGCTTAAGAGAACTGTTAATATATTCAGGAAATGATTTTTTGTTTTTGCATGCCATTAAGTCATCTCCAACTATAAGTTGCTATAAGCGACCCTATGAACAAATGCTCTCTAACCTTAGATATGTGTCTGGTTTGCAGTCTTGCATAGGCATAGCTCTAGCCTCACACAGCTGCTGTCCTATATTCACTAGATGTTTTGGAACCCTTTCTTACTGGAGCCTGAAATGAATTCCCTATCTTAGTCCCTTTCCTGTACACTTTTCCCTTACAAACTTCCCCTCCCTGTTCTCTTCCCTTTGCAGCTGCGGAGATATCACAGATGGAATCACCTCAGTGTCAGCGGAAATTTTTTGTAGTGTTTTAAAAAAGAAAACAACTTCAAATAATAAAACTAGTCAAAGTATTCCCCTTCCCTCTTCCCCAACTCCCTTTATTTTCTCTTCACCCCACCCTCATCCCATCATCACTGCTTTCTGCTTATTCATGAGGACTTCGGCATCACATGCAGCTATAGGATTCAGCTCACCTTCCAAGAAACCCTTGTCAGCAAAGGAAACTAAGAAAAAGAACAAAAAGAAAAATTCTCCTATCATAGTCATCAACAAGAAACTACTCCTTATGCAAAGTCATTTTTCCTAGCAGCTACTACAGTCATGGTCAAACAGGCAGAGCAAATAGTTCTCTGCCAAATCAGCAGCACCCACTTTATAGGTGGAATTTCTCTGAAATCCCTGTAAAAAGTATTTTGGGAAGCAGAGAGGGAGGTTCACCAAACATTTGAGCCACTTTACCTCAAAATCCAGAGGCTTTGCATCTCAAAAAAAACCCTATCTAATTGGATGGTCAGAAAATCCAGCATAATAAAATTCCCAATGCAAATCTAAGCAAGGATCTGACAGAATCCCATAATTTAGAGTTTCTCCCAAGAAACTGTTTGCCAGGGACTTCACCTGTAAGCTGCTGAAAGATGGAATAGTGTAGCATTAACAATAAAATTAACTGAGAATTTTGCATTCCCAACCTCTGTAACTCATATGCTTCTTGTAAGGTTTCAGTCAGTTGTGGAGATTCGAGTATTTTGTAATAATAAAGATGTGTGTATTTTCTAAGCTTATTCTTTATAATAAAAAATTAAAAATGGAGGAGCTGTATAACAAGGATCCCTTTCAAAAACTTAATGAGGACCAAACACATGTAGGTTTTGCTCTATTTTTGCCCCACTGAAATGAATTGCAGGCAACCACTCACTTATGTGGTTGAAAGTCAAGACATACAGCAGAAGTACCATTGGAGTGAAGCTGAAACTGGCTCCCCACATGGTGAATCCAGCATGGATGGGATTTTGTCCCTTTCCATGGTGTTCCAGATTCCAGCCCACTTAGAAAATTCTAGGAAACTGAGACTGTAATAGCCCCACTCTGTAATCTACATAATCTTGGGGCTTCATTTCTGATCAGGCTAGAGTGTGGCATAACCTGTCACTGTTATACAGGGATGAGTTGTTTGTGCCCAGCTCAATGGCAGAGTACCCCAGGGACTTAAAACCAGATCTTCACTGATACAAGCACAGGCAGGTCTGTGACTGGACTAATCAGTTTCCTCTTGGGAATTGTAGTTTGGTGAGGGTGGTGAGAATTCTCTGTTACTGATGCAGAGCCTCCCCCACAGAATCACAGCTCCCTGGGAAGAGGGAATGCTTTTAAACCCGTTTATGCTTGCAGAGCTGACATGTCCACAGGAGGAGTAGTAACAGGTCCATCCCTGGCTGTGCAACCTTTCCTGGCTGAGCTACTAGTGCAGATGATTACTGAATAATGAATTTCCACTGCAGACAGTGCCTAGAGACCTGTTCAGAAAAGGTCACTCCACACCATGCTTTTCCGTCTCAAGCCGCTGGCTCTTGTTTTCTTTTCTGTGTCTTACCACCTGCTTTTGGCTAGGGCAGGGTTGAGGGGGAAGCCTGTGAGGCATGGACCGAGGCACCAGTGCACTGCATGGACTCATCATTCCCCTCTTCCCTCGTCTCCTCCTCAAAACAGCAAGGATGGGCCTCAATACTCGAAAGTTTACCGTACTGTTGCAATAATGCATGGGTCTTTCTTCTCTTCCTCTCCTGAGTCTGTGATTGGAAGTGTCTTTCACTTTTTGTTTGTGCTGTTTTGCTTTTGTAAAGTCACAGTTTGGGCCTCTGCCCTGACTTTCTTGCAGCATGAAAGCAATCGCTGCCCCCTCCATCTCCACTTCCGCCATCCACATCTTGCACTGACAAGGCCTTTTGCTCTGTGCGGCCACAGCTGCGAACTACCTGGCATTTCGCTTTTCCATTTGCACTGCACGCTTTTTCTAAGAGGTTAGCTCACCACAGTGGGTCCATGGCTTCGTTGGGAATCCAGTCTGATGGCCCCACCAGCTTCCAACGGATATTCCCTTTTCAAGTCCTGTTTTGTGTTAGTTGATTTCCCCCAACCTTCAAGAACAAGTAACAATTCTTTCACATTTCCAGCCATTTTAAGTGTTCACAAGGAGCTATATATAATTATTTCATCTTGCCTACATAAACTGAAGTCCACCAAATTGAATATAGCTGCCTTGTATTGTGGCTTGTCAGATATTTGACAATAATAGCAAGATGCCAAAAATGAAGGCTGGTGGTTGAAATTAGTGGCCAGTGGTCAACATTCAGGTTGGTAGATAACAAGCTGTGTAGGTCTATTACTCTTACTACTACGACTATTAAAATTTATATTCTGCCTTTTATCCTCTTGCAAGGAATCCAAGGCAGTTTAAAAGGCTCTCCTGTGCCCCATTTAATCCTCACAATAACCTTGTGAGGCAGGTTAGGCTGAGAGTCAAGTGACTGGGCCAAAATCATCCAGTGACCTTCATGGCCAAGTGGGGATTAGATCTCCCAGGTTCCAGTCTAACAGTCTAACCACTATACCACTCTGGCTCTTATTTATGCTTGCAAAATTCCTGCAATGTGAAGAGGATGCGATTGCAATTCCCATATGACACAATTGAAACTGACAGATCCCTTATATACACCTCCCCTCCCCATACACATACACCAAATTTTAAAATTAAATTATGCATGGTACTGAATCATACAGTTTTTTTGTGGGGGCCATTACCCTTTTCTCTTTGGTAATTTCTCTAAAAATCACCCTCTCTTCCCTGAAAGGTCCTTCTTTCAAGGACCACTTTAGTAACTGTAGTTCTGTGATTGGTGTAGGGATCACTAAGAATACTCTGCAGTTGAAGTTCCTGGAGTTCATTCGCTGGGACCCTAACAGTTAAACCAAGAGTTTAAAACTGCCATGCAGATACAAGACAGAAGATCAAAGTGGCTTCCCTCTTGCTTATCAACACACTTTGCCTATACGAGCCACATTGAAATGATCAACTTATTTTCTAGTTCTCATTCAGATCCATAGGACTTCTATAGACAAATTTCCTGGTGAATTATACCATATGGGCAAGATCTGTTTTCCAACTTTGCAATGCTCAGTGGTGCACAAAACATAATGGGTGTGCCCTCTAAATCCATATAGTCATGTAAGAACTTGTTCCCTTTGCTGTTCATACATATTATTTACTAGGTCATACCCTACCACAGCATGCACATAAGGAAGCTGGTCATCTTTATAATTTTACCATGTGCTAACAAGGTGCTTTCCTTTCCCCTGCTTCTCTGGATGTCTGCTCACATGCAGAATTATGAAGACTTTCATCAACACTTGGCAAGACAGTACAAGGCTAGCTTATATGCCCATGGTGGTAGCTTTGGCAAATGACTGGGAGAGTGCATGAAAATTTACTCAGACTGCTAAAGAAGAAGGCTGAATTCTGGTTTTGATTTATTTTCTTTCTAACTACAAACATCCTTGGCAGGAGCCCTTGTTTTACCTTTTGCAATGACAAACCCACATTTCTCTCATGTGCTTCCTCTCTTTACGCAAGATCTCTCACACACTTAGACCGTTCTCTCCCAGAACAAAAGAAACTATTAAGGAGCCTTAGCACTTAGGTGTATTTGTTAAATTCTGTATGTATTAGTTAAACTCCCTGTCAGTCTGATCCAGTATTTCTGCCATTCCTGCATGCTCCTGAATTGCCTTGGGTTTTTGCTTTCTTGTTTGTCTCTCTCTCAGGCCTTCTGCCAAGGTTGGTCCCTTTCGGCCCATCCCCTTGGTGAAGGAGCTGGATTCTGCGTCCCCAAAACAGAATGTGGCATGAAGGCATCTAAATGCATGCATTTGCCTAGGATCATACGCTTCAATCTTCCGCCTCCTGTCTGAGCATGTAGGCCTTGTCCACATTATGTACTTGTTGTCCATGACCAGCTTTCTGGGCACTCGTCAAGATGGGCTATTCATATTGTTTTCATGGGGAGAAGTATGACAGAAGTCCCCTCTTCTTCCACAGCAGAAATTAATCCACCAGAAATTAAGCCACTAACATCCATGCTAAAAGCAGTGTCCTGGCCTTTTTACCCACAAAGTCCTGCAGGAAGAGCCATAACTTAAATCAAGGTGGAAAAGCACTCAAGTATTTTTGAATTAATTTCCCCAACACTTCCTTGAAAGAGGCAGCAGGTTCACTCTGCTTGTGAAACCAAACAGGATGCAACTATTTGGTTTGTCCTTAAAGCTGGGAAAAATTATTACTTTCTGACTGCCATTGGATCAGGTTACTACACATGAAGATATGTAGTGGAGCTCAGCTGAATTTTAAATGTGTCCGTTCATATCAGCATCGTCCTGAAGGGGAAAAGTGGATATAGGTATTTTTAAATCACCTCTTTTCCATTTTCTTGCCTTTCTTCAAACTGATTTCCACCTTCACTGCTCTATTCCATACAGAGCCACTATATTGTTTCACCAAGTGTAAAATGCGGTTGGCCATATATTTCCATCATACCACACTTCTGTATGAACCATTCTCTCCTATTTTCTCTTAACTGCTCTTCCCATTCCCCTTTCTGTTGTTTTTCATTGCTTTAGTTTCCCTTTCCCTCACCTACCTACCTGTTCATCAGTGTCCACCAGGAAGCATTAAGTATATCCCAAGTATGGCTGGGCCATGGAAAATAATCTGAAAACTGCATCACAAGGGAAAATAGTGTGGTCTATAGTTTTCAGAGTGATGAGGGAAGCTGGCTGGCTGGCAGCACCAAGAACTTGGCTTTACAAAGCCTGATTCAAGCTCCTGGCTTCTATTTGTATTGCATGTCCTTAGAAAGTGAGTAAAACACTTTAGAGACAACATGTAAGATTAATATGGATGACGTCAAGGCCATCTTCAATTAATAGCTTTTCAAATATATCAACATCATCGAATTAGGCTGGTTTAATCGTTATTCCACATCCTTAGAGAACTGCAGTTCCCCCAACCAGGGCTAAAAACGAACAACGTTCTTAGCCCATTCAATGAGTTACAATTCCCAGGATTCTTTGAGGGAAACCATGACGATTAAACTGGCATATAAAACCACTAAGTTTGTAGTGTAGGTGTGCCATTGATTAGGTAGCAGGGCTGGGAACTACTTTACTAGAGATGCTTGCAATACCTAGTAAACTGTTGACAGCATTTGCTCTACAAGTGCTGGAATGGAGAGGGGGGAAACTAAGTAGAACTGTAGGCTCCTGCCCCATCTCTGCAAACTTCCTCTGGACTAAGCCAGAATTGCAGAGGGTGAAGATTTAGGAAGACCCACATATATGGCCTGGCATTCAGACCAGCAACTATGAATCAAGCTTTCATTCTCTCTTGTCTTTCTTCCCTTTGGCCTTCCCTGCAGATCCGCGTAGTGAAAGCGTTCCGTAGCTCGCTCTACGAAGGGCTGGAGAAGCCAGATACAAAGACCTCCATCCATAACTTCATGACAACACCAGAGTTCTTGATCAATGACTACATCCACAACATCCCCCTCATTGATGATACAGACGTGGAGGAGAGCGAGGGTCCCACAAGAAGGCGCTTCCAGGCCAGCCCCCCACCATCCCCCAACAAGAACAACAATGCCATTGACAGCGGCATCTACTTAAGCACCGATGTCAGCAAGACACCTACCTCCTCGTCCAGCCCAGTTAGTCCACTCCACAGCATGGAAACCTCCCTCTAACACAACCCCACCATGTAACCGGTCAAAATGACTGTGCACAGCAGGGGTGTCCAGTTCCTCCTGGGAGATAAAGACTAGCTGAGTCCGTAAGGAAGGAAAGTGGGCAGGAGGTGGCATTTCTCCTCTTTGACACTGGAGGTTTTTTTTCTCTCAATCAGGTGGAAATGGAACAAAGTTTCCACTACTGGATGGCTCAGGCAAATGAAGAAGAGAAGCTGAGCTGATGCAATGAAAGTGACAGACATACTGTGGAGGGGGAAGATGAGTGTTCTTCAGTCACCCATGAGGGGTTTGGGCTGAGTCCCAGAGGGTGTACAGGAAAAACCACCCATTTCTCTAGTATGTTCTTTGTTTCTCTTTGGACACAAAACACGCTCACCGAACCCACAATGATCCCCCATTTGGGGGTTGCTTTATTTCTGGGACCTCTTTTCAGTTTTTGTTTTCCAAAGTTTAAAAAAGGAACTATATTTGCACCGGAAAAAGAACAAAAAACAAAAAAGGAAAAAAGAGAGGAATAATCTAGACATCTATTATCTTAAATATATATATATGATACCAACCGGCAGATGTATTAACAGACCTTCTGACCATAACGCATGCCTGTTATCAAACTCTCCTTTCCTCTTTCCCCGCTCCCAATGGAATTTGTCTGGGGCAATTTTTTTTTTTTTTTAAATCATTGCTCGCTGTAGCTTGTATTTTATACAGGGTTTGCTGGGAAAAGAAAATGGATTATTTCCTGTTGGGAGGGAGAATTAACTGTGAAACAGTTCCTAAGAAACTGAAGCACTGTTGGTTTTGGTGCTGTGCAGATACAATGACTGAACTTCAGGTGTGCTTGCAGACTGCAGTGACACAAATGCAGGCCTTTTCAGGCAGTTATCCAAAAGGTGACCAAAAGCAAGTCCCATTTAAAGGTTACTGCCCCCAGCCCCCAACAAAGTGCTCACAGTCAATCCAAATGCTTCCTAGAGCTGGTTTCACCAATCTCAAAATACCTGAGCATTGGTGAAGTAATTGGAGGGGGGGGGGAGATAAATTTTTTATTGATTTATTTTATCCAATAAGAAAGGAAAACATCTTTTCTGGTATTTCAGGCTACTAAATCAGATCGTTGTTCAGGGCTGTCCAGTCTATATTATTCAGCAAAGATGAATCTGACAAAGTTGTACTTTCATTTCCAAAACAAAGACAGAGGTTTGTAGCCCTCATGGTTATGGAGAAACATTTGAAAATGGACCAGCAATGCTTACAGAAGGCTGCTGTACCCACAGTTAAGGCTACTAACCCCTCCACTGTAGATTGTACTTTTAACTTACTAGTATCAGCCTTATTCCAGA